TTCCCCTGTCTTCAAAGCCATCAATGGCAGGTTCGGTTGTGTCACACTAAATCTCCCTGATTCCCCTCCCCTCCCCTCCCACCTCCCGTTTCACTTACAAGGACCTCTGGGATTACATTGGGCCCACCCAGAAAACCCAGGAAAATCACTTCATCTCAAGATCCTTATTTATACAGAGAAATGCATGGACCCTAAATCTATATAATTGAATGAATTTTGGTGAATGTTTGTATGCATAAAACCAACACCCCAACCAGGATACAGAACATTTCCATGACCCCAGGTTCCCTTTTGTTTTTTTCCAGTCAATCTTCACTCTCTCCATAGGCAAGCACTCTTTTGATTAGTTTTGCCTGTTGCTAAACTTCCCTTAATAGACTCTTTTGGGTCTGGCTTCTTTCTCTTACCATAATGTTTTTTAAATTTTTTATTTATTTTTAAATTTTTGGCTGCGTTGGGTCTTCATTGCTGCACACGGGCTTTCTCTAGTTGAGGCGAGCAGAAGCTACTCTTCATTGCAGTGTGTGGGCTTCTCATTGTGGTGGCTTCTCTTGTGGCGGAGCACGGGCTCTAGGTGCGTAGGCTCAGTAGTTGTAGCTCACAGGCTTCAGTAGCTGTGGCGTGCAGGCTCAGTAGTTGTGTCTCGTGGGCTCTAGAGCGCAGGCTCGGTAGTTGTGGTGCACGGGCTTAGTTGCTCTGTGGCATGTGGGATCTTCCCAGACGAGGACTCGAACCTGCGTCCCCTGCATTGGCAGGCAGATTGCTAACCACTGAGCTACCAGGGAAGCCCAGCAAAATTCTTTTTTAAATGCATTCATGTGGTGTGTGAGCCAGTAGTTCATTCTGCTTTACTATCAAGTAACATTCCATTGCAAAACATCCAACATTTTAAAATCCATTCTCCTGGAGATGGACACGTGGCTTGGTTCCAGTTTGGGGTTATGAATGAATAAATATCAATAGATAAAGTTATTGTAAAAATTCCTATTGAATCATGCTGCAACTTTGCATGCATTTTGTCACGTAGCATAACATCCTCCCAGGTTCCAGCCATTAGGACGTGCACATCTCTGGGGTGCACTATTTGGCCTCCATCCCTAATTTGCTTACTCTGTCTACTGGACCAGCACCCCTCACCCCTGCCTAAGGCTTAGTCTCCTAATCACCTTATTTATTGCCACGGGATGTTAAGAAGCTTAGCTTACACTCAGCCTCTTTAGCTTTGCCTTGGATCAGATTCTGACACCATAACCCAATTTTAGTGACTGACCTCTTACCTCTTTCCTGGTAATTAACCCCCCCAGCTGTATACTGCAGGCTTGGTGCCTGGATCCTAGTGTGATGTCCCTGCCTGGAATCTAAATTCCTTTAGAACTAAAGGGCAGCCTTGCTTATTCCAAGCCTCCAGAGAAACGGTCCTGCCTCATGCTCTGGGCATCACTGGCTGGGTTCCTGCTACGTGGCTGTCTGTCCTCGAGGGAAAACATCTGTCAGGCCGTGCTTCCTCCTCTTGCCTGTGACCATACTTCTCTGAGACTGGCTCCTCCAGCCTGCCCAGCCACCAATGACTAGACCTGGATTAACTTCCCTGCAGGAGCTGGCCAGTCTAGCCCAGGGTTTCTCCAATTTTGTTGCACGTTAGCACCTGGAGAGCCTTAAAATATTTTAATGTCTAGACTGCACCCCTTACCAACTGAACCCGAATCTCTGGGAGTAGAAATGAACATCAGTATCTTTTCAAACTCCTCCGTTGATTCCAATTTGCAGGCAAGATCAAGGACAGGCAAGCCAGGGACTTCTGTTCAAGGTGTGCTCTGCCTACCAAAAGCATCAGCATCACCCAGGAGCTTGTTAGAGATGAGGAAACTCAGGCCTCTAATCCCAGCCCTACTGCACTGGAGTCTGCATTTTAACAAGATCCCCCAAGTGGTTCTGAAAGCTCTGATCTAGCCCATCTCACTCTGTCTGAACTCTTGTTCTGAAACATGTTCATAATCGAGCAGGGTTTATTTTTTTTCTTTTAATTGAAAAATATAGTAGTATTAGAAAAAATTGAAATAATAATTCATCTTTCTTGAGCATTTAGTGTATGTTAGGCAGAGTGTGGGTGATTTATAGACATTGCATCCTTTGAATCCTTATTTCAATCCTTATTCATTGCATCCTTTGAATCCTCAATTGCATCCATTGAATCCTTATGACGAAGTTTCTCAGCAAAACCTTCCCAAACTGCCCGATCAATGCTTGGTCTCAAATTCTCTATCTCAGTGAACTGTTGTTTCCTTTACAGAACTTATTACGTTTATAATTTTAGTATACTTTTCTTTCTGTCTTAACTGTCAGACTGAATACTCCACAGAGGTGAGACCCTGTCTAGTTTAATGGTGAATCCATCGCACCTGGTACTTAACAGGCACTCAAAAAGTATTAGTTGAATGAAGGAAGTTGGCACTATTATTATTCCTATGTTACGGATGAGGAAACTTGCCCACAATGTCATTTCTAGTAAGTGAGGGGGAATGAGAGCCGTCTCTGAGCCTGGCTCAAGTTCTTTATCATTGTTAGAAGCACCTACCCCACCATTTGCCCTCTTATCAGCTGAACACAACAGTTTTCTTCTGTAACCTGCCTTCTAGTGTCTTGTTTACACGTGCTATTTTATATAATTATAACCAGGATGCCCATGTTAACTGGAATTTTGCTTTTCTTACTTAATGTTTTTTGTAAGTTTTTAAAGTTTTCATACTTTAAAAATGGGTACATATTAGCTTATCACTTGATTACTATAAATTATTAACCATTTAACCCTTGCTTAGCATTTAGGCATTGTCCTTGTTCTTTATTTACAGGTGACATTGAAGCCAGCATCTTTGGATGCCTGGTTGAGCTGAATTTCTACTTTCTCACAAAACATGAACATTCTTATATCGTTTTCACCTTGAACAGGCCACCTCTGACCTTCCATGGTGCTGTAGCTAATTTAGATATTTCCAAGCCTGCTAAAGAATGGGAACATTTTGCACTGCAGGGTTTCATAAGACACGTAGAATTGTGACATTTTTACTGTTCCATCTTATCCAAGCTTGTTCATTAAAGTGGCTTCTGAAATTCTTCTTTCGCTGAAATCTTTCTGCTTAATTTTGAGCAGTGACAAAACAGGCCAACTTGGCAACTTTTGATGCTTCTTATTCACTCCTCAGATGTGCTGACCCTTCGTTTCCCTAAATCAGGAGCCTGAGTTCCCTGTCTGCAGTTCAAAGACAAGGTCTGACTGAAGTCCGGAGGGACTTTCTAGGAACCCAGGATATGGGGGGGACAGGTGACCCCTCGTGATTCCCCTGTTGCCTTTCAGCTCATCCTCCACGGTCTCAGTGCAGCTAGGGAGAGAACGCAGGACCAGAAATCAGATCTGGGGACTAGCGCTGAACGGGACATTCACCGACATTGGGACCTAAACCCCCTGAACTCACTTCCTCATCTCTCATACAAGGGTAATTGCATCTTTTAGAATTGGGAAGATCCCATGAGCTAATCTACATGAATGCTCTTAAGACATTCAAAAAGATATATCTGTATGTGTATAATGTAAATACAAAGTTATTTCAGTGCAGAAACACTTGTAATTCTTTTAATATTAAATGCTCAATCCTTGATTACTTATTAAATGATGACTGAATGTCATCATTGATTTGTTAAATACTTAATACTTTAATACTTAAATATTTTAATAGTTAAGAACGTCTGCATTTTAAATTCAGTACTGTGATGCGTACCTTCTTACCTAACCATATTGCATCCTTCTTAAAGGGCCAAATTCTACCTTTTTGTTCTGTACTTCTATGATTAAAAGTAATAATAATTGCTAATAATATTTTATTAAGTGTGGAAGGATATGTCTTGAGAAAAACTGTAATTGGTGAGGTTGTCAAATTGATTGACACAACTGAAATAAAATTATCTCCCTATGAGGCAAAAAAAAAGACAAAAATGAGAGCGTGGGCCGTAATAAGTGACTTACGTTATCTTGAATGTTTATATTGTGAGAAAGTGAGATCTGCAAAGTGTTATGAATACTTTCAATAGGAAAAAAAATCAGAGGAAATTAAAAATTCTTTAACGGGGACCAGATGTAGTTTTAAAAAAAGAACAAAGCTGTTGAAATCTCCTGTTAAGACTGAACTCCGCTCCCCCCCATAAGCCCTCTTTCTTTAACAGTAAGGGTATGCTAATGATAATAATTAAATCCAAGCGATTCTTCTTGCTTTTCTTAGGCAAAGTGGGAAACAAATTACAACTCATTTTCAGAAAAACCTTCACAAAATCCTTTGCCAACAGCAGAGCGGGGAGGCTGGCAGCTAAAGGCCCCAGAGAGTCCCTTTCTGGGAGGGGAGGCTCTCGGCCAGGCCCGAGCCACCACCCCCTGGGGGACGGGGCGCCGGTCAGTAGGCCCGGGGTCCCATCCTCGGGGCGAGGCCGGGGCCCCTCGGGCGCGGGCTAGAAGAGCGGCGGGCCCGGCCGCGGCGGCGTCGTCGGCGGCGGCGCGGGGTCCCGGCCTCGGGCTCGGCTGCAGGGCCGCGCTGGGGCGGGAAAGGTCAACAGGGCAAATACTTTCTCGGATCCATCCGCCCCGGCCAACTTCGGCAGATCTCCCCCGCACCCCCTCCATCCCACTTTCTCCGCCCGCCCCCCAACTCCGAGCCCGCGGCTGCAGCGGGTCGACCCCCACGCCACCTCCGAGTTGGGGGATGGCTCTGGCGGTCCCCGCGGGCCGAGCGCGGGGGCCTCGGGGGGCAGGGGCCTTGGGGGGAGGGAGTCTCTGGGGGGAGGGGTCTCTGGAGAGAGGGAGGAAAGCTCTCGGGGCGGGGGGAGGTCTCTGGGGGGAGGAGCCTCCATGGGGAGGGCTCTCGGAGTGGGTCTCCTTGGGGAGGGGTCTCCGGACTGGGGGAGGAGGTCTCCAGGGGGAGGGGTCTCTGGTGAAGGCCGCGGGGCGGGGCCGGGCGCGCCGGAGGTCGGCGGGGGTGTGTCCGAGGGGCCCGCAGGAGCGCAAACTCGCGCTCCGCCGAGTCCCGGCGCGCGGTCGCCGCTTTTTCCTCGGAGCCACCCGAACGGCAGAGACGAGATGCGTGGCGGCGGTGCGGGGCTGGCGCTCCTGGCCTCGCTGCTCTGGGTCGCCGTGCAGGGTCAACAGAGAGGTGAGCCCGGGTCGCGTCCCGGTCCCCTGGCGGGCGGGAGGCTACGGGACAAAGCCCCACGCCTGGCCGCGCCTGAGGTCGGTGCGCGTATCCGCGTTCACCCCTGACCGGGGACCAGACACGTGGGTCTCCCGTGCGGCCCCTGGAAAGGTCGCCCGGCCGGGGGTGGGGAGAGGGCTAGGGGAGCACCCCTGACGGACGCAGCCCCCTCATCCGCGCCTCGGGCTTCCCCTCCTCGGGCTCTGGGTCCCCGGGTCTGGCTTGGCGACCCAGGAGCCCCTATGGAGAGCCGCGCTGGCCCAGCTCTCGGTCTGGGCTGCGGCGGGTGGGCGGAGAATGAATGGGAAAGGCGCCCACAGAGTCCCCGCCACCGACCGGCGGCGGAAAGCTGGTGGTCCGCGGCCGGGAAAGGGGGCGGTCCCATGGCCACTCGGGGCGGGCCGGCGCGCGGGTAGTGCGCGGGGAGGAGCGGACATGGAAACCGGCCGCGGGCGGCGTACAGGGCCTGGACGCGCCTCCCGGGCGCGCTGGGTGCAGGCCGCGAAGTGACCGAACCGGCAGTTCCCTCGCAGCATAGACGGTGGTCACTTCGGGGTGAGGGAGCGGGAATTTGGACGCTGGCTGGCTGCGCGGACACGCTGACTCGCGGGGCAACGTTGGCGAAGAACAGAAACCCGAAGCGAACTTTCAAAGCTTCTGTCAGTGCCCCAGAGAAAGGGAAACCCCCCTCCGGTTTCTGTGGACAACACCGTGCCCGCTTTCCCCAGAGGCTAAGGCTTCTCGGCGCCGGCTGTTGGCTAGGCGGTCACAAATATTTGTTGAAAACGTCTTAATGTATGCAATACGTGACCGCGGGCATGCTCCCACAAATACACGTGCCATTAAAAACGGAGGAAAGTGCAGGCCAGAAGTAGGTAGGCGGTGTATATATGCCAATACACTACTATGTATAAAACAGATAACTAATGAGAACCGACTGTATAGCACAGGGAACTCTACTCAAGGCTCTGTGGTGACCTAAAAGGGAAGGAAATCCAAAAAAGAAGGTATATATGTATACATATAGCTGATTTACTTTGCTGTACAGTAGAAACTAACACAATATTGTAAAGCAACTAAACTCCAATTAAAAAAAAAAAAAGTGGGCAGGCAGAACGCGAAATACCCCGTGGGAAAGATGGGTGTTTGGCATCGTGCTGAAATGTGAACTTTGTAGCCCGTCCCATTCATTGGCGCATTCGTGGTGGAAGCGCTGGACCGGAGCGAGCGACACGCTTTGAATGGCTGGGCGTCCGTTCTGCGCGAGGCGGGGGCTGGGATGCCGGGAATTTACATAGTTATCCCGGGAAGAAAGGGGCCGGCCTTGCGGGAGAGCGGGCTTGGACTCTTCGAGCTGAGCGCCTTTCTCTCGGGTTGCTGACAGTGAAAAGCCTGGTTTCCCACAGGGTGGAGGGAGAGCAGCTGGACTCAGCTTCCTTGTTCTAAGAAATTGAAAGTCCTGGACTGGGGAGATGCCCTGAGTGTTTTCCGCCCCCCTCTGGGCTCAGCACTTGGCCTGGGCGGCTGTGAATGGTGTTTGGAGAAAGTGGGACCGCGTGGGGCTTTCCTGCTTTAAGATGCTGCGGAAAACCACCCACTGCGTGGGAGCCTTTGAATCCTTCACACTACCTTCCAGATTTTCAGTCCTCACCCCACAACCGTCACCCTTCCTAACAGGCACCTTTAAGGGAGTTTTGACTTTTTAAAATATAAGTTGGGACCCCATGTATATAGCATGAATGGCTAGTGAAATGGTGTAATCTGGTCATAATATAATAATAAAATAATTCTGACTAGCATCATCAGTGAGTTAGTTATCTGGTGCTTATATTTTTTAAAACAATCATCCTATAGCATTCAGATTATTAGGAATTCTCTATCATTTCACAGCCTCTCTGGATTACTTTACATCTCATGGTATGTGACCCAATAGCTCAGTTCCTTTGAGATGTAACCTGTGCAAAGTGAGCTATTCCTAAGTATAAAATACTAGGTGGTATATTTCTAACAATAATGTTGTGTTACGTCCACAGCTGGCATTTACATGGATTATAGTTGCTTCACAGGTCAGCTCAGCAACTCTTGTTTTGAACTGGTTTTTTTTTTTTTTTCTTAGTAAAAATAGACAATTCCAAGGATAGGGGAAAAAATCTGTTCTATGACTAGAGGAAATTTACTTCATTCTCATAAATGATGTAGCATTCAAATTTAGCATGTATGTGCTCTCCAGTGAAGTGTGTACCTGAATGGCTTTCAAAGGTGCATTTTTCTTTCCTGTAGCTGTGTTCCCCAAGTAAGGGCCAAGAAAAAATACTGATTTTTAGCAGTTGGAAACAAGGATTGTGTAATAAAAACATCACTGCCCACTTCCTTCGTATCCCAGACTTTGGCCCATTCCTTTTTTCTCTTCCACTTTTCCAGACATTAATATAAAGCCTACATCTGTAGTTAATATAGCACCATCGAGAATTCAAATGCAACAAGGATATGAAATAAACACATGCTGTTCCATAGTGTCTCGTGCCACTTAGAATCGCCAGTATTGTAAAATGTTTATATGACCACTTATTTCAAGGTAATCTTCCTTGAGACACCCTACAATTTTAGAATAATTCATAAGTTTCTACAGATATTCATTATCATCTACAGTAGGTTTTTTTTTTTTGTGGTACGTGGGCCTCTCACTGTTGTGGCCTCTCCCGTTGCAGAGCACAGGCTCCGGACGCGCAGGCTCAGCAGCCATGGCTCACGGGCCCAGCTGCTCCACGGCATGTGGGATCCTCCCGGACCGGGGCACGAACCCGTGTCCCCTGCATCGGCAGGCGGACTCTCAACCAGTGCGCCACCAGGGAAGCCCTACAGTAGGTTTTTATGGAGAAAGGACAAGATATGCCTTTAAGCTTTAGGTGTTTTACTTTTTGGCTTTACAAGCTGTGGGAAATTGGGCAAGTTACTTAACCTCTCTGTGCTTTGGTTTCACCATCTGTAAGTGGGAGTAGTAATGGTGCCTCCTTGGAGAGGCTGTTCATGATGAAATGAAAGAATGCAAGATAAGTTCTTAGAACAGTGCCTAACCCAGGATCAGCCCTCAATAAGCATTATCTAAGCATCATTATTACTATTTTGCACAGAACTATTGGGAGGCCCTCTTGCCAGCTGTATTCTCTGGAATTTGGAGTCTGGGTTTGGAATCAAGTAGTCTTGGGCTCAAATGCCAGACCTGTCACTTTGATGAGCCGTGATGTTGGTTAAGTTTCTCAGCATCTCCGGATCTGTGAAATGCAGAGAACTGATGTGATTCAGTAACACAGGGAGAAAATTGGCCCAGCGTTGGGCATGTCAGCATCATAGGCACGCAGTCCATGGTGATGGTCTTAACTGTCCCGCCTGTTGTGCGTCCTCACCATCCTGGACCCACATTCATTTGGGCATTAAGACTTGTTGATTTTACCTCTTGAAAATCTGTGCAATCCATCTCCCATTTTTGTCCCCACTGCTGACTAGGCTCAGGAACTGTTTGTCTTTCCCATGAAATATTGTGACGATTCTCTCATTGGGCCTCCCTCTTCCTCTCCTCTCCATCTTCGGCACCACGATCACCGTGATTTTTCTAGAAGTACCACCCTATAGGCTTGGACTAACGCCTCTCAAACTCCTGATTTCATAACACAGACATACAAAATGACATTGGAGAATCCCATGGGGCTAAAGGAGGAGGCTGGGACCCAGCTGGCCTGCTGGCCCAGAGCTCAGGGTGTTACCTGGGGACGAACGTGCCCCTGTTCATAGCTGACCAGTGATGCCGGGCACATGGGCTATTCAGTGCTGGACAAGCCTCCCATTTGCAGTCTAAAACCCCCAGAAACCTCCCCGGTACCGTCATTGCGGAAGTATTTATGATGTGCCCTTCCCTAGACTCCTGGTGCTCTGGTCCCTTAGCATTATTGTTGTCCTTCTCCTGGTGGCCTAAGCAAGTGGCTCACTGATCTGTCTCACCCACTGACCTGGGCTTCCTGAGGGCAGGGGCTGTTTTATTCCCAACTGGATGTCCTTCGCTGTGCCATGTTCCTGGTGGTTAATAACCACCTGTCTTGGTTGAGCCACATTGAGATTAATATCTTTATTCACGAATCAAGTAACTTTAAAAACTATTTTTGAATAGGTAATCCATGCCCATGGTACAAAGTTCAAAAGATACCAAAGGGTATATAGAAAAGGTTAAGTCACCTACTTCTGAGGCAACTACGGTTTTGAGTTTCTTGAGTATCTTTCCTTACATGTTTCTTCATGTAACTCCTAAAAGCAAGCTACTTCCTAAAACCTGCTTCCTCCCTAGCACTTCCTAATAGTATAAGAAAGGTACTAGTTATTTCCTGATAAAACAGGAAACACTCTTCCTATCTCCACTGCCCTTCCTTCATGCTATTTCTTTAATATCCCTGCTGCCGGATGTTAAATGCATCACTTAATCAATGTCTACACTTACCGACTTTTCACTTTCCAACTTGTCCCTTTCAACGTGGCCTTTGACAGACGGTATTAGAGCCTTGTTTCCTAGATCTTTTGGAATTTAAAAACTAGCTGATTGATTGCTTTCATGACCCTGTACTCCTTCTGAAAGTATTGCTTACTGTAGCATTAATAAGCTATTCCTGAAGCTGTAAATAATTTAAAAAATATATATTTAGACGATTTATGATGTAGAGGGGTTAAGTTTAAGAATAACTCTATCCGAAGTTAAGGATAGTGTGTTATTTATTTTTCCAAAAAGTATGATTTATTACTGGAACGACAATGGCAGACACAGAAAAACTTAAATTTTGAAAATAATTCCTGGGCTTCCCTGGTGGTGCAGTGGCTGAGAGTCCACCTGCCGATGCAGGGGACGCCGGTTCGTGCTCTGGTCCGGGAGGATCCCACATGCCTCGGAGCGGCTAGGCCCGTGAGCCATGGCCGCTGAG